AACTCACTTATCACACTAATCTCATGTACAGTAGACTGGGTCTAAAAAGCAATCCAATTAACCAACTATCAAATCTATCAATTCTAGCAACAATCTTGAAAGCTCTTTTCTGTCTTTCGACTAATTGAAAGATCAAAGATCTGCTAACTAGGAGGTCTTAGCGTTATTCTGTTTTTCCTTTGGCAATAAATTTTCTAAATAAAATAAAATAACATATATTTTTCTTTATAAACAATAAAATGCAAACAAAATTTAATTATACAATTCTAACATTAAATAAATTAAAAAAATAAATAGTTAAAAATATAAAATGATTTTCTAAATATTAAATGAAATTAAAAAAATGTATATATTTTCCTTTTTAAAACAATAAAATCTAAAAATTCAAAGATTAAATCAGACCAATATATGCCCTTTTTGCTTAAATTTTAAAATTGGGGCAAAAAAAGCCTGATATTTCTCTTAATTTCGCTTGATAAATTTAGTCCAGTTCCAATTTATTTTATCCCCTCCAAATGAGAAAATTCTTGAAGATCCTTAAAGTGGCCCCTTCATTCCAATATCTTTTAGTTACTGGATTGAGAAAGTAGGATATACATAGTCGGATTAATATAAATTGAGAACCTTTTAACGTGATCCGTTACATATGCACTTAACTCAAGATATTTCATTTCACATATCACTATATCAGTGTGCGAATAAAAATCCCTATATCCGCATTCAATTTATACTAACAAACCGTTAAAGTTTTTCTTTGAAAGAACTAGGGGCACGATATTGAACCGAAATTGAAAAAAAATTAACTCTGATCATTGGTCTCATTTTCCCAATTCGGAAAGTATGTATGTATATAATTGAGGTTCTCTTGAAAATACGATTTTTGACTTAAACGACTAAATATTGTTTATGGCCGCGGGCATGTCACACATGTTGGTGTACTTATGAAGATACCTATTTGTGAAATTTTGATAAAACAACTTGTCTTGAGTTAGGCCATTTTTTCTTTAAAGAAATATTTCGTTCCGTTCACAACGATTAACTACCTATAGATGTAGTTTAACAGGTCTATTTTTCACATTACGGAAGATTTTGAAAACGACAAATTTCATTACCGCGATTCTAGGTACGTTGGTAATGCAGTTAAAATATTCAGCTAAGAAAGAAATGTGGAAACTCTGGTATTGCATATTTCACGGGGTAATATTTTGTTACCAGCTTATGGCATGGTGACAAAATTTTCGGTTACAAGAGTAGATCGAATGCAAAAAGGGTTTAAATATTGACACGAACTTTATTTACCTGTTACAAAATGTTTATTACCAGCGCAGAATAGAGCTGTTAGATGCCATTTTTATACGAACTTAATAAATATATAAAAGTTTTAAAGCAAAACTTATTTTTGTTAATAAAAAGCCTACAAGTTGTTTTATCAAAATGCTACAGATATATTTGTAAGTCCTAAACGATTTCTGACGATTTTATAATTCATTAATTAGTTAGTATTTTATATATGCTTGTGTATTTATGAAGATGACTAGAAATGAAACGAAAATTTATAGAAGTTTTTAAAGAGCAGTTTATAGTATGGTTTTACGACAGTAAATATTTAAAGAGTTTCTAAACGTGTCGTCGGGTTCAAGTTGTACATAAAGTTCAATAAATTTATACTAAATGAATAAAATAAACTAACAGAACACATAGAGCAGTAAAATAATACGTATTCATTAAAATATCCCTAATATATTGAAAAAATATGTACATTAGATCGTACCAACTTACAAGCAAACAAAAAAATGCACCGAACACCCCTGAGTCTAAAGTATTTGTGCCAGGCAATTTCAAATTTTTTTGTTTGCCAAACGCAGGGGTTGCCTTTTTACATTTTTCGGTTACATTTATATTTAGCATAAAAGAATATTTCAAAACAAGTAGTTCTACAGGAATAGTTAAAGTACTTCCTTAGCAAAGGTTTAGTGATTTTTGTTGAGCTTTAATTTACTCTCACAATGGTGGTGCATTAGGGTGGCAGGAACTGAGGACTCGTGAGCCCAGCACTATAATGTGGTACTTGAGGCCAATGAACTTCGCAACAAAAAAATGCTTCTTCTAGGCAAGGACACTGAAAAATCATACTTTAAGATTCGTCTGTAAATGCCGAAGATATAAAGAAAAGTAAAAAGTAATTGCCTTGCAGAAATTCTTTATACTCGGTGGTATATGGCGAACTTTTTCCGACGCGATCTAATGCACATATACATACATATGTACATATCGTTACTTCATATAGAATGGCTCTAACTCATTCAAGTTCAGATTTATACAAAGGTGTCAAACAGCTCACAATATACATATCTAATAGAAATTGAAAACAAATATTACGCTGCAGCGTTAGAAAAATATTATGTTTAATAAAAATCAATTCTTCGATGTAATTCGCAACTGTAGAACTTTGCTTTTTGCCAAATTTTCAAACTATGTTTGCAGAAACGGAAATGTGAAATGTGGGCCTGTCTATATTAAGGTAACGATATGTATATATATGTATACAAATAAGTACGATGAGTAGAATATATGCATCTGGGATGCCAAAGTATGATTTCAGCTAAGTCCAATTTATTTACGAATTTATTTGTGTTAAGTAGTTTTCGTTTCTTTAAAATTTCGTTTGATGTCTTAGGCATAAAAACAATATGCATAACTGCGTTAAGTATGCGTTAAATGTTTTGCTAAATTCCTTTAAATTATGAAAACATGAATTATGAAAAAAAATCAAAGTGCTTTTGTTGAGTTGCATTAAGTTGCTTTTGGAACGAATGACTTTTTTTTAATACTTGAATTTTATTTATTTTATGTTTTTACTCTACTAAATATTATTATTAATAGTATAATAAGTATGTATATGGATAAGTGGAGTCAGTTTTATTAAAAATTAATATAGATATGTATGTAAATTTGTAAATTATTATCCATTAATTTCCATCTCTCTTGCTTAGAATCAAATCAAAGGTCGGAAATCAACTGAAATTATAAACTTAAGAAGAAGAAAACTTAAAATTAAAATAAAAGTAAATAAGAAAAAAATGAACTGAACCGTTCGACTCACTCACGACTCACAGTGCAATTCGTCACTATCATCACCGGGACTACAGTTTTTGACGCCATCGCAGCGTAGTTTATCAGAAATGCAGTAGCCCTCCTCGCATTGGAAGTGGTATGTTGATTCGCAGAGTAGACCAGTGGACGGCGGTCCAGTCTTGTAGTCTTGTATTTCAGTCCATACAATGCGGAAGCCCTGAAAAAGTGCAATGCAAAATTGAAGATACTTATGTATGTATATATGTTGTTATTAATTTTATGTACATAATTAATTGAGTGAAAGGCTCCATGTATTCTATTTTCTAGGTCGCTGAAACCGCCTGTCGTTAGGGCTCTTTGATTTTAATTAAGATGCAGTAAGTTTGTGGGTATTTTCTTTGCTCATTGCTAAAAGAGCCCTGCTTTAAAATTATTCATAGGACTGCCCAGAACTTCCGGGTAATCCTGTACTGTCCTGTACGGCTAAATCTCTGTCTAGCTTAAGCATGGTCAATTTCGGAGACTGTGCCCTTAGTCTCTCTGACCTAGGCTCCCATGTGCAACGCGTGGGACACATTTGGTTCGTCTGCGTCCCATTTTCATATATGTCCACCTTACCTATATAGGATTGGTAAGAAATCGACATGAGGTCTCTCCTACAGTCATTCACTAGTTGAGATCTAACAGAGATAAAAGAGCGTGCCTGAATTGCCGCTTGGCTGTTTGGGAAGGTATTTAACTACTTGCATTCCCGTGGGTGCAAATATTTCGGTCTGGAAAACGCTTGCATGGACCGATAAAAATATCTATCGATAATAAATCGAGCAGAACGTTCAAAAAATCCTTTCGACAGGATCGGACTAAAGCTGTGTACATCCAGTGCAGTGGTTTTAATCAATATCTATTGCCTAACATTCTTTTGGCTCTATGGAGAAACTACTAAGTCTCTAATTAAATGTAGAGCCCAGAATAACTGCAGGGTATTTAATCTTGTTTGACACATCCAGTTCCGTTTCCTCAAATCTTGGTTTAGTGAAATTAGGTAATTTTGTTTAACTTGGGAAAAGTATAATGCCGTTTTTTTCGGGGTTCACTCAAAGAGAACAAGGGTATGTACTATTCAGAGGACTTTGGTCTTCCCCATGACTAACTGATCCTGCTTGCCTTTGACTCTTTGTAAACGTCTAGCAACTCGAATTCTTGGTAAGTAGTTGGGCTGGATTTGTTTGAGTAGTTTATCCTATTTGAAGTTTTCTGCATCTTCGAACCAACCCAAAAAGGCTTTAAGTTGAAAAGTAGAATTCGCCTTAATTTTGTAATTGACGTATAACTATAGTTTACTGGCTAAGTATTTGCCCAAATTTCTCCATAAATTCGTAGTTTCATAAGCAACACTTCTTCATGGTAGATATGCAGTAGAAGGTTTGCCATTGTCCCCTAAAATACGTCAATTTTTCCAGCATACTTACCGGTGCACCAACGGTTTTATCGCTGGTTGTGAAACTGATACGAACAGTTTGTCCAGTGGAAATATGATACCACTGTTCGATTAGTGTTTTCTCCCCACACAATTCCATTGGCGGTTGATCCGAATCGATATTTAACCAAAGACGCAATACAGCAGCAGGACAGCCACGACCTAAAGTTATGGAAAATTATCAGATTATTTATATAATACATATAAACATACATATGTAGGTACATTTCTGCTTATAAGCGTATTAGAATAAAGACATTAGAAAGCAAAAACTTAGACTCACTTGCTGGATCGCCCTCGATTGAAAAGTGTTCAAAATTTATCGATAACTTATATCCCGGACGTGCGGTCATTATCCAATTGCATGCCATCGATGCCATGCCACGACCAGGCGCCTTATATCCAGCTGGATAGTTAGGTGAGGTGATAATACCAGAATCTTGATTGGAAAAATTTCCGCCACACTCGCCAACATCGGAACGTGGCGTTTCGAAGAAGTAGCGTGCTTTGAAACCGCTAGCTACATTTTCTTGATCCGTATGCAATGTGATGCGCAGACCCACTGCACCCCTAGGGCTCTCTACGGGGCCGGGTGCTGTCAGACCACAGTAGCGACCAAGAAAACGATCGTTGTTATCACGATATACAACATACATTTCCAGCCAGTCTTCAAAGCAAGCGCCAGAGCTGCGAAAGAAAATGAAGAGAGAATAAATTAAACGATTCTCTGTCGTTCAAGAAAAATAAAGTAAAAAATAAAATAAAATAAAATTATGGTACAATGCTATTTACCCATAAGCTCCCGCAGTGGCATTTGAGTTACCATCCGCTTTTATTTTAAAATGATCGAAGACAATCGTGACCTGCTCATTTGGTTCGCCTAGAAAGAGATACGAACAATTCGTGTCCGATGGATAATTGGATGGATAGCGAGGACTATTGAATTCGCCGCGTTTCTTCGAATTGCTCACATATGTGAAGCTACATGTGCCGTCTGGTGCTGCTGTGCCAGGTATTTTGTATTCGGTTTCAAAAGTATATTTACCCTTGAAACCGCGTCCTTGCAGCTCGCCGGAACTGAAAACCATCGCTAAGCGCGGTCCATCACTGAGCACTCGCTGTGTTTCATTGCCACACAATTCATAGTCGAATTTGTCGTAGGCATCGGCAGTTTCTTGTCCTTTCAGGTAGATCTTCAGATAACCATCCGTGCAATTAGATCTGTGGAAGCGCGAAGATTTGCCGAGGATTAACATAAATCATGTAAATTTTCCGAAGTGTCTTGCTTACTTACTCGCTTTTATCCTTGTGCTCTACCTTAGGTATATTGAAAGCAGAGAATTCAAGACGTACTCGTTCTAGATGCTGAGCATCTTGCATACCATAAATGAAGTACCTTAAAGTAGTTTGGTAGAATGTTAGTGACCAAAAACTGGATATAGTGGTTTCAGGGTAATTTTAAAATGAATTGTCTATTTATATAAAAGCGCCCACTTCATAGATAGAGTGAATAAGGATTGAAATGTAGAAAATAAAAACTTGCAAATAAAATGAAATTAATACACCGTGCGATAAAAAAAAATCGGAACACACTATGCAGTCAATATATTCACGAAATTGTGAGCCAACCCAGCAAAAAACACGATTACCACAGAAGCGAAAGTGTAAACGAGCTANACTTCATAGATAGAGTGAATAAGGATTGAAATGTAGAAAATAAAAACTTGCAAATAAAATGAAATTAATACACCGTGCGATAAAAAAAAATCGGAACACACTATGCAGTCAATATATTCACGAAATTGTGAGCCAACCCAGCAAAAAACACGATTACCACAGAAGCGAAAGTGTAAACGAGCTAGGCGATGGGAATCGCTTACGCTTTCGCTTCAGGAAGGCCTTATTTTAACATGGGCATGTCATTGGCGGTAAGCCCTTACCCGCAGCATTACCTTCAAACGAAGGGAGAACGCATGGATAAACAGAATCCAGAGAAGCGAACAAAAAATGCCTTACAGAGAAACTAATGTATTTAGAATGCCCAGATGAGTACATACTTATTTATATTAAATCAGAAAATGTCTTAAAAGATTAAAATTAATTAAAATTTTTATAAATCAGTTTTTATACAAACATATATATGTATTTGGGTATTTAGATTTTACTTAAAAATCGGTATGTACATACATGCATATTTAATTAAGCTTAAAATTGTACTTCCTCACTCATGTACTTCACTTCATTGACTGACTTCAACTTCGCTGCAAATTGAACAAAGCAAAACATGATTTTTATGCGAGACAAATTTCCACAGAAACTAACGGTAGAAAAAGATTTGTTTGATATTCATTCTATTTTTCAGCTGACCAGGATGCAGCATTCTACTTTGCATTCCCCGAAATGAAGCAAAGAAGCGAAATAAACAAAAAATATTGTAGGACATTCTACTTTGCATTCCCTGAAATGAAGCAAAGAAGCGAAATAAAAAAAAATATTGTAGGACATTCTACTTTGCATTCCCCAAAATGAAACAAAGAAGCGAAATAAATAAAATATTGTAGGACATTCTACTTTGCATTACCGACAATGCCTAAAAGAAGCGAAAAAATTCGAAGGCATTACAACGCTATGCCTTCTAGTACACGTTACCACTAAAAGCGATTACCGATTTTTTGCTGGGAAATATAGTAAAACTGCGTTTTTAGTTTTTCTTTTTGATGTCAGAATTTTTTTCAAAGGACTTTGAAATTTCAAAGATAACAGTGATTAAAAAAAAATTATTTTCAAAATTCAGTGCTGTGTAGAATAACAATATTGACACCAAATGAAAGATAAAAATCTATATATTTAATTTAAAAACCTTAAACCTTTTCAGTTTAAAAGGATGAATACATGATAAAAACATAACAAGGTAAAGCCATTGAGAGGCAGTCTGACGTTTGCCAACAATATAATTTTAAAATCAAAACTCAAACTCACACACACATTCTCATTTTCAATCTCAAACAACAACAATTGTGAACAATTTAATTTTTTTATTTTCAATTATATGATTTTAAAATGTTGGCAAACGTCAGAAAAAAATCATGGCCGACAAATTGAGAGAATGAATTTACCTTGTAATGTTTTTGTCATGGGATGAATATGTATTGAAAATGCTCTTTTAATAAATAAAATTTTTTAAGCTAATAAAGTAAGAAGGACCAAATTCGCGGATGGGGCCGAGTGTATATTAGTACTTAACATATAATATTTTTCAAACATTTTTTCAATGAAAAGCTTCAAGGATATTCAAACGTTAAATTCTAAAAGGACATTCTCAATACCTAGGCATCCTAATGCACCAAAAATTTTAATTGGGTGTAATTCTAGATAATTGATACCCCTACTGTTTTTCAACAATGTACAACATTTTTTTTTTAATATTTTTTTGAAATAATCACATTTTTTAATATTTGAAGTCCTATGAAAAAAATCATGATGTCACAGAGAACGCAGTTTTACTATATTTGGACCTTGGTTTCGCGCATATATTTATGTTTGTGCGTTTAAAATTTGAAGTGAATAATAAAAAAACAAAAGGGATTAAACCACGTTTCNCCCTTGGTTTCGCGCATATATTTATGTTTGTGCGTTTAAAATTTACTGTCGCACGATGATATAGATAAAGTAAAATTTGAAGTGAATAATAAAAAAACAAAAGGGATTAAACCACGTTTCGTTGTATGTAAACAATTTTCTAGGTTTCAGCTTGGATAATTACCTTAATGTTCGCAATATTTTATTTATATTTAAAATAATGAGATGCGGTTAATCGTGCTATCTTTTTAAAAATTCGTACACTGTTCATCAATCTCACAAGCATAATAACATTGCTCCACATCACACAACTTTCTAGAGGCTGTTAATGTTTTTGTTCTTTGTAGTGCTGACAGATTGTGGAATTCTTTACCAGTGCTAATTAAATGTAAAAACTCGGTCAGATGCTTTAAAACGGCAGGCAAACATTTTCTTTCTCTTTTCTGGTATATTACCTCTGAGGGCAACCGTTTACGAAAGGTCCTATCTAAAATTCCAGCTCCCCAAATTATAATCAAAAGCCTAACGGTGAATGGACCTCCTCTTGTAGCGAATTGCTAGATGTTCTCATGGGCACCCACTTCCCTGGGTGTACTGTAGAAGCAAAGGCGGATCGGCCAAATCAAAAGACTGATCCACGCTCATTGTAATCAGCGTACAATGCAGGCGTCCCCTTGTCTTCATGTAAGCGCCGATTGAAATCCAACGTGTTCCGTTATAAAACATATCTGGCTATATATTAATGAGAAGAGATCCAAAACTCGTATGCAAATCGACCGCCCCATTATTGGCATGGTTGTCGGTGTACCTACAGGGCACTGCCTAATCGGAGCGCATGCTACGCGAATGGGTTACCCCGCTAACGATTTCTGTAATTCCTGCAGGGACGAGGAGGCGGCGGAGAGTGTAAAACACGATCTCTGCCACTGCCCTGCTCTGACAAGGCCAATACTTACTATTTTTAATGACCATGCTCTTCGGTGTTTAGCTCACCTCAACTCTGTGAACGTCCGCGACTTTTAGCGATACGTTAAGGTCACACGATGGTTCTATCACACTGAACCAAAAATCCATCTCTGGATCAAAGAAAAACTTTCCTTACTTTAAGGTCGAAAATTCTTCCGAATGAGTAAAAAATTCTCCCGATAACGTAATTTTTCTTTGGAATGTGTAAAAACGTACACGAAAATATGGAACCGTGGATGTAATCTATCATTTTGAAGAAATGTTGGGCATGAAAAGAGGATACAACTTCTTTAGTGCTGTTTCGTTCCCATTTTTCTTCATTTTAATTGCTGTTTTTCTTCAATTAAGAGAAGTTTTTTTGGGTTCATATGGGAAACTAAGGGCAGAAAAAAAGAGCTCGTATATAGTTATATCACAATGGGCGGAATTGGCCTAAGTGTGTCCTTTGCCGGACTGTGCGGAGTGGCAATCACCGTAACCTAACATAACTTTGTTTCTGTTATTGTTAAAGCTAATTTTTTTTAATTGTTCCGGTGTGGAAACCCCCGAGGCTGGTTAGCATCGAGATGCGCCAAAAGCTCACATACCGCAGGCCAATTGAGATGCAGAGTTTTAAGGTCTACTCAAATAGGAAGCTGATCTATGTAGAAAGAATCCTCAGTATACCGCCGATTGACCTAATCGCGAAACCCGCGCTGCTAAATCCGCAGGTTGATTGAATTAAATTAGATAGGGGAATTAAATTACAGAACCTTGTAGCGAGAAGCACGGGGAGCACATACTATATAAGGCCAGATGAAATGTGTCAATCATCTGCAAAACTGCGAGAATTATGTGCGAAAACAGCGAAAGTAATTGCAAGCTCTTCTCGTCACGGTTATTAAGAATGAATTGTATGTAGAGTTGCTAACGGATTGCTTACAGGGCATATACTTGTGGCTGCTTATGCATAAAAATGGGTATCACTAACGTGGACAGATGCAGGAAGTATCGTGAGCGCGCGACCAGGTAAACCCTAGAGCATCTACTACGCTGTTACCCTCACTGTCAAAAGCACGACAAATGGTGTAGCTGAATGCTGCTCTATGGTCTGGCGACTATCATTTGCTGGCCAAAAGTCGAGAAGTAACCAATTTGATTTGAAACTTGTGTATAATAGATTTTCGAAATTTAAAATGGCGGATGCAATATGGCGACCAAATTTTATAACTTTTTCCTTTGGCTGTTCGGGTGCCGAGCTCTAGTGAAACCTTCTATGGAAGAGGGAGCTCACCAAGGAAATTTGGCAATGCTTTGAGAAAATAGCCAACGGCTCTGATGCTGATTTTAGTTTTTGTAGTGACGCGGATAGCCAAACGATGGGTAGACAAGTTAGCGACCGTACAAGAAAAAAGTCATCGATTTAGAAATGGAGAAATATTTATAGCTACCCCTTATACCCATATAAGATCCTTTAATTTGGTAGAAGCATTTTCGCAAAGAATTTCTAAATTTATTTACACTATCTCTGTTTAGAGCATCGGGTAGTATTTATGTTGAAAATAGAAATAGGTTGTTGCCCTATAATTCGGAAATGCTTCTTTTCAAAATGAAAAATTACAAATCTTTAACTTTAAGTACTAATTCTATACTATTAAATTTGATTATAAAAATACAAAAAAAAAATAATTTTGAACCAAATTTTTAATTTGAAACTTTTATAATCGAAATTCGCAATACGACCGAATTTTAGCCAGTACCCGGCCAGATAGTCGGATTAAAGGAATTAATAATTATTACCCAAATTAGAGTCCATTTTGAATATGAGTTTTATTTTATTTAGCAAGTTATATGCTAGTTTTCTTTTTTGTTAATCACACAAATATTGTCTTCGTTATTCATTTCCATTATCTTTTTTGAAACATATTTCTCACTGGGAGGCTTATACCATTTCGAACTTCAAGAATAATGACTACGAAAGAAATAAAAATGTAAACTTTTAGTAGAAATGTCAACTTTAGCAGCTGATATCTCAACGGGAAAACTCTTTAAGAAAATAATAAAATGTAATAATGTGTATGTACCTTTTTACACTGGAGAATTAGTTTAGTGAAGGGGCAAAAACAAATCGATTTATCGATACTTTAAAAAATGACTTTTGGCCAGCAAATAGTAGCTACCAGACCATAGTGCCTGGCAATATTAATCTACCTAACTTAATTGAAAAGAATTCATGTCATAAAATATTAAATAACTAAAATAAAATAAGAAAAAGTTAAATTAATAAAGTACACTAAACCATTAAGGACCGTTTTCTCAAGTAGGGTTTAAAATCTTTTTATTTTTTGAACAGAAATTTTGCTCTGAAAAACGTATTTTAAGGGCAGATAAATTTTAAAACCTACCTGAGAAATGGGCAATAAGGGGTTAATGAATAAACATGAAATGAAAAAGGAAAAAAGGTGTTTAATATACTTTTCTGTCAATCAGGAGCTGCTCAGAGATGTTCGCCAAAATTTAAAATTTTTAGTAAAACTAAAACAACCAGTAAATTCTTATTTTTGCTCCTTGCGGTTATTAACAAAACACTAAATCTGAAAGCTTTTGAGCGAAAGATATGATAACCGTTATATTTTAAGGTAGTTATTACTATAATATTATGATCAAGCTGGGCAGATCCACAAAATAACATTCGTTGGGATAAAATATGCAGGATTTTTGTTTTTAATTGTACTTACCTACAAACAGTTTTCGGTATGTATGGATAAGGGTAATTCGGTGACAATACAAAGCCCGTTGACTCCTTCCTCGATAATATTTTCTGATCACATTCCGAGCCACGTATGTGAATGCCATCATTTTCACCTAATTTAATTATTATTTTCATATTTGTATTTTTGATATTCGCCGATAATTTTTTTCATATGAAGCATATTTGTTGCATTTTCATTGGGATTAAGTTGTGAATAGAAAGGTTGGCGAAATTTCGAAAATAAGTTGGAATATAAATGTAGGTACATAGGTTAATATTAGGTAAATTGATAGATGTCCAATAATAGTCTATACAAGTTTTTTAATTAAATTTATAAAATTATGCTTTGTACATAATAATATCAAGTTGGTGTTAATAGAGGTTTCGATAAATTTTAAAATGCATCAAAAATATATGCTCAGTAAAATATGATCTACAATCACATACAGTTAGCTAAAAATGTTCTCCAGCGCTTAAAACTAAAGGAATACTAAGCTTAAAATAAATGATTTATCTTTTGAGTAACTCCCCTGTCGAAAAATTAACTAACTACATATGTATATGAGCAAATCTCACGAGTTGTTACATTTTTCGACAAACATGTATTTTTGGTCGAAAGTGGTGGTACACCTATTTTAACCTATCTTAGAAAATGCATTATATTTAGCCTTGTATAAAGAACACACATTTATATTTCTTTCCTTATGTATATAACAATTTTAGAATAAATTTCGAGTAGTCATCTATTACTCAATGTAATTCTTTTCCATTTGGTGACACACAAGCTTTATTACACTAGATTCGCTCATTTTAGCAAAACGAATTTTTTTACCGTTCAACTTTAACATTTTAAAGTACCTTAAATTATTGAAATTAAAAAAATCGAAAAATTTGCAAAAATTACAAAATAGCTGCTATTGATATTCTGCATGCCACCATTTTTTTTTTAATTTCGTGGTACACTCTTGAAACTTCATAGATGCATTTGTTGTATTTTTATGTACATTAGACTGCATTACTCCCCATACAAAAAAAAAGAAAAATCGGTACTGTTTTCCGTTGGAATTATAAAATCTATTATATTTTAAGACGCCCACCAAAATATATCGGAAAAATATTAACATTTAAGCGAGCTGAACGGAATCTTATTCAGAGGATGAATAATGATTGGTTTTTGGAAAAAATATTGGGACGAATGACTTTTTTTGCACATAAATAAAAATAATGGGAAAATACCTTTCTTCCGAGATTCCATAACTCCAAATCAGAATAGTTTTGGCCCAGTTATTTAAGTTTTTCTTAAGTCAATCTTTGAAAAAAAGTAAAAAAAAAAACAGCATCAAAAATCTCATTATTACGATTCCGTTGAAAAGATTTTTAAATATTTATATGCAGATTTTTAAGCTTAATCTGCTTTGTCATCTGAGGGGACTTTGTTCAAAAAGTTCTTTAAGAGACTCCTTTTATTAATAAAAAAAATCCATTTTTGGTGGTCTTTTCAAATCGGTCCAGCTCACGTAAATCTTTTTCCGAAATATATTGGTGGACGTCTTAAAATACAATAAATTTTGTAACCCCGGCGGAAAAACCGCAACGTTTTATGTGATGCAGTCTAATGCATGATAAAAACATAGCAAGGTATAACCGTTCTCTCAATTTGTCGGCCATGATTTTTTTTTGAAGTTTGCCAACATTTTAAAATCATATAAAAGTGAAAATAAAAAATTGAAATTGTTTGAAATTGTTGTTGCTTGAGATTGAAAATGAAAATGTGTGTGTGAGTTTGTGAGTAAATTTAAAAATTAAATTGTTTGGAAACGTCAAGAATCTTAAAAGTGACTCTCAGCGGTTCTACCTTACTATATTTTTATCATGGTCTAATGTACATATATTTGAAAACTTTCAAAGTTTTTAAAAATAAAAAAGTATGTTTTTATCGGTTGACAATGAAAAATGAGTAATTGCGGCACTTTTTCGCCTAAATAAATGTATAAGGCTACAATTATTCAAATACTTGATTTGAATTTTTTATTTTACTTGTTTCTAGAACTCCGTTGATTGAAATAAATGCCAGAAGAATGCGTTAGCGTTTTTTTGCCTTGAGAAGGCAGTGATACTAAAAAAAAAGGACTCGTGAGATTTGCTTATATACTAAACCCGAAAATATTATGTACATATTTATGTTTAATTAAGATTTCCCTGACCTAAGCATGGTGTTTACACGAGGTTTTTTGTTAGTTGAAAGCAACAATCGCCTGGTGTAGACCGCCTTTCAACTGGTCGCTTTGAACGAGGTTGGCCGGCAGCTAGATTATTACTCAACTCATGTAAACACCGCATAATATTCTACTGACAATGAATTGAGCGCCATTTCTTCACAGGAAATACAAAGTTCAGCACTAATTTATTTATAGTCCTGTTGAACAATTAGCGCCGAATGCTCTGAAAAATCATTTCATATTAGAGAAATGGAGTATACCCAATACGAATTTTACTTTCCCTCAAATTCACCTACAGCTAAATACTTTTTGTTAAGCAGAGATTACACGATTTGTACATTACAGTGTGCTGTTGTTTGGAAAGTTGTCATTGAGCTGAACCCATTATTTCCAGACAACACCACTCTGTGGCTGCTAAAATGTACAAATCTGTACAAATGTACAAATCATGTGACTCCTGGCTTAGTTACTTAAAACTAAGGCAGTACCAATTACTTACGTATAAAATCTAATTTAACAAAACTTTCGCTAAATTCATAAATTCCTTTAAAGCCACGATTTTGGGTATTTGCTGTTCTCGGCAATGTATAAAAGTGAACAAAAAGGCTCGATTCGCTTGAGTATAAAACTAAATTCCTTTGCTGTCCGCAATATGTACCAATTAATGCTGACGAATTGTCGGGACCATCGTACACTTTGACATAGTCAAATGGGCAGCTGTTGAAAAGATATTTCAATTAAAATAACTCAATTCAATATACAAACATACATATAATGCACAGAGGAGAGTGTTGAGCGTATCTTTAAGAATTACACACTGTACATATTTATGTACATACATACCTAACCACAACTAAAGCCTATGCGAAAGCAATTAGCTTATTTATTTAAGTATCNTACATACCTAACCACAACTAAAGCCTATGCGAAAGCAATTAGCTTATTTACTTAATTAAGTATGAAAACTTTCACATTCTCTTATGTGCATTTATCACGTTTCGGGTTATGTATGTTTGTAACTGAATAAGTTTGTCCAGCATTCAGAGGTACTCACTGTGGTCCACCAAAAAATAGATCAAAATCACGAAATTCTAATCTAACTCTTTGATTCGATTCGCCGAGAAATTGATATGTGCATGACATATCCTTTGGATAGGCACCCGGATAGGTTGGCGATATTAGTGCCCCCGTTTTGTTAATACTCATGCTAGGCGTGATGGTGTAGGAACATGGTGAACCCGCTATTGGTATACCAATTTCATATTCAGCTAAGGAAACGAATAACAACGGACATAACATCGAAAGTGTTTGGTTATTAGCCAGTTTTTAATTATTATTTTTTGATAAGCATAGCAAAGTATTATTCATATATAAATTAAGTAGTTATAANGGACATAACATCGAAAGTGTTTGGTTATTAGCCAGTTTTTAATTATTATTCTTTGATAAGCATAGCAAAGTATTATATACATATATATGTAAATTAAGTAGTTATTTTGGTAGTACTTACATGCATTTATAAATCTATAAGTCCCTTCGAATAAATCGGGTGTTGATACATTTTTGTTGGTAAAAAATGAAATGGCTATAGCTCGGTACATGGAGATACGTCGTCGTGGCGGTATTGTGCCGCAATATCGTCCACCAAATGGTGAATTTATTAGTTCAGCTGGATCTGATGATTGCACTTCGGAATATATATCCATGTACTCGTGAACACAGCTAAAACATTAAAACACATACATAAATACATAGATGAAATATACTCCTAAGTACGCAAATAAAGTAAAGTATTATCTTCCTATAATTTGAATAGCCTGAGACAGATGAGTTTTTCCTCAAGTTCTAGGCGAACTAATAGAAAAGTTTTTGAATATCAAACAAATTTTTGAATTGTTGAATTTTGACCNATATATCCATGTACTCGTGAACACAGCTAAAACATTAAAACACATACATAGATACATATATGAAATATACTCCTAAGTACACATATACAGTAAAGTATTATCTACCTATAATTTGAATAGCCTGAGACAGATGAGTTTTTCCTCAAGTTCTAGGCGAACTAATAGAAAAGTTTTTGAATATCCAAAAAAAATTTTGAATTGTTGAATTTTGGTTGACTTTAAAACTAGCTGACGTTTTTGAATATAACTTTTATGCGACATCAGTTGGTGACGAGGCGCGTTTTCTGACTATGGGCATTAGACTGGGTCGCAATAAAACGTGTGTAATCATGTCCCTTAATTTGAAAGCATTCTTTATTTACAACTCGATTTCAAAGTGTAATATATCGTCGCTTGGCGTGTAATACCGCGTATAGGCAAAATATACTTAATACCGCGTATATGATGGTCCGAAAATTTCACTAAAGTGCAAATAAACTTATTTTCTTATAAACTTTTGAATGATTTTCTAACTGAACTTATTAAATATAAGCTTCTACTAAAATTATTGACCATTAAATTTGTGAAGTAGGCCAGCACGGTCTCACGGTACCGGAATTTTTAGAAAATTTTTGGGTATGCAGTTTTATAGCCCATACAATGTTAGTCTAATGAAGTGCAAGTTTCAAACGGCTAAAAAATCGCGTTGATTTTTGAGATTTTTTGTTGGAGGCTACTTTTTTGGGTTTTTAATATAACAAGCGCAATTTAAAAAAACTTGCGTTGATAATTTGAAATTTTTTTGCCCTCGGTCTCCCGCATTTTATTTCATAAGAAATTCATACTTACATATATGAAAAAAAGTGCAAAAATCCGTCACCAAAAAATATTTTCAAAAATCAACGCGATCCTTAGCCGTTTGAAACTTGCACTTTATTAGACTAAAACTGTAAGACTGTCTAGCCCTAGCTTAGAAATTTTTCGTATTGGCCAGTGTTATCAAATACATTATAATAAAACAAATTACTATGAAATAACCTTATTTATAATTAATACTTACGCTGGTAATTCACCGACGGCAGAGCCGCTACGTAAAAAAAAAACAAGGAGAAATAAGAAGTTAAAGATTATTTAATTGCGGATAGTTAAATGCAGTAAAATTAAAATACGAGTATATGCATGCATTGCGTCAGCCATAGATAATAAACATGCAAATATGCACATATACAAAGTAGATATTCACACATCGCCGCCGATGCAGTAAAAGCTGCTAACTCCATTCAGTAAAATTTTACAGAAGAGCGAAAAAACTCATTAAGTAAGAACTAGGCACCAACTTCAAAATTTGAAATCCCCCTTTTGTAATTCTTTGTATAAATACTTTAGTTATTGACCTTAAAATGAATATTTTTTCGCTCAAGTTTCAAGTGAGTAATTCTTGTGTTCGCGTATAGGTTTTTTTAGGATTCAGGTGTGGAGTTCATAAGGGCTGTCCTCAGTGCGGTGTGCTTTCTCCCATGCTATGGTGCGTGGCAATTGATTCCCTGCTAGTCAAACTTAACGCCTCTTACACCTACGCACAGGTCTATGCATATGACAGGCCCTTCTCTGAAAATTGTCTGCAGGAAAGCGCAAATGACACTGAATACGATTTATACTTGGTACAGTGAAAATTGGCTAACTGCTAACCCAACCAAAAGTAGTGTTGTGCGCTTCACTAGAAGGCTGGCTGGCCTTCTTCGCCCTGCCCTTTAGGAAGTCACTTTTCAAATTTCTTCCGAAGTAAATTATTTAAGTGAAGTCTTACTGCCGCACTCAGAATGGTTCCTTAAATAAGCTCTAATGGGCACTTAACTAATGATCGTTAAATCTGTTAATTAATGTTTCCTCTCAGAGTTAAAAATTATGAAATAAAAAATTTAAGTATGGCTCCAGTTGCGGCCCTTCATTTTTGTGGCATCACTCACTTTTTTCGTTCAGTTTGAAATAAAATATAAAAATAAGTATTTATATAATTTTGCGCGCACTGGCTCAACAGACGCAATGGCTGAGTGAGCAGAGCGCTGGCGTGCCATTCGAGAGATCCGAGTTCGAGTCCTAGGGCGGGAAAATTTTCTTTTTCCTTTTTATTTATATTTTTTTCCTGTTTATTTTTTATAAACTATCTTTATTGAATTTTTTTGCTTTTTTGATCTAATTTTCTTTTGATTTATAGATTTTATTGCTTTAAAAAGGAAACAAATTTTTTGTTAATTTAATTAGATTAAAAAACAAACAAGACCAATAATAGGCCAATTCTGGCATCAGCCTCAGTCTTTCGAGAGAAAAAAAGTCTTTATATTTCGACAACTATCTTGAAAGCCCCTTTCTGTATTTCGAATAACTAATTGAAAGTTATGCTCTTTAATAGTGTTATTATATTTACGGTTTAGCATTAAGTATTCCAAGAACTAAACGAAATGAAAAAAAATATTTTTTTAAAACAGGAAAAACTACAAATTTGGGGAATTGAAAGCGAAAGAAAAAAGATGAATCAAAAGTTTCCAAATCTATATATATAAAATTAAGTGGCAAAACTTCCTGTTCGCATACTCCTCCTAGACGGCTTGCCCGATATCAAAGAAATTTTCAGGGGTGATTGGGGTCTGTGTGGAGGGTGCACATAAGAAATTTCATGTGTGTATCTTTGCACGTTTTGCAAAAACAAAAAAAAACAAAATAATTCTGTTTGGCTTTACGTGTTTTTTCGGATTTCTATCATTCCTAGACGGCTTGCCCGATTTCAATGAAATTTTCAGGGGTGATTGGGGTCTGTGTGGAGGGGGCACATAAGAAATTTCATGTGTGTATCTTTGCACGTTTTGCAAAAAAAAAAAAAAAATTAATTCTGTTTGGCTTTACGTGTTTTTTTCGGATTTCTATCATTCCTAGACGGCTTGCCCGATTTCAATGAAATTTTCAGGGGTGATTGGGGTCTGTGTGAAGGGGGCACATAAGAAATTTCATGTGTGTATCTTTGCACGTTTTGCAAAAACAAAAAAAAAAAATTAATTCTGTTTGGCTTTACGTGTTTTTTTCGGATTTCTATCATTCCTAGACGGCTTGCCCGATTTCAATGAAATTTTCAGGGGTGATTGGGGTCTGTGTGGAGGGTGCACATAAAATGAAATTTTCAGAAGTGATTGGGGTCTGTGTGGAGGGTACACGTAAGAGATTTCTATCATTCCTAGACGGCTTGCCCGATTTCAATGAAATTTTCAGGGGTGATTGGGGTCTGTGTGGAGGGTGCACATAAGAAATTTAATGTGTGTATCATTGCACGTTTTGCAATTAATTCTGTTTGGCTTTACGTGTTTTTTTGGATTTTTATTATTGTTTTGCCGCAAGATTGGCAGTCCTGCCTTTTACTAATAAATAAACAGAAACAGCTGGCGAATGTTTACAATTATTAAAAAACATTGACAACAATTTAATTTATAATCTTATAACTGGAGTCTACTATCGCACCCTTTCCTCAAACGTGTATTAATTCAATATTCAAATAACGTATATTTATATAATTTGAAAAAATCTCCCTACTATACAAATATGTACAGCAATATTAACTAACTAGCGAATACCCGGCGTGCTTCGCTGCGCCTTAAAAGTAATTTTGTTTTGTTACTCCCTCTCACAACATTTGAAAATATTAGTTAATATTGCTGTACATATTTGTATAGTAGGGAGATTTTTTCAAATTATATAAATATACGTTATTTGAATATTGAATCAATACACGTTTGAGGAAAGGGTGCGATAGTAGACTACAGTTATAAGATTATAAATTAAATTTCCAAGAGAAAGTCGGTTCTTTACATATTTTCTAATTACCTTCGAAAATATATTAACTCAAAAAAAATAAAATAAACAATGCTTCATAGATCGATTTTTTTTAAATCTAACTTCATAAAGTTCTTTAAAAATATTTTGTAAATGAGGCCATAAGAGCTTAGGGGGAGAGTTACAACACAAAAATACATTTAAGGCGCAGCGAAGCACGCCGGGTAATTGCTAGTGGTAAATAAAATAAAAAATATGAATTTTTAAAGCAATCAAATTAAAAAAAAAAAATTGTATTAAAAAAAATTCTCTTGCCGAGGATTGAACTCGGATCTCTCGAATAGCACGAATGTGCTCTGCTCACTGGGCCATTGCAACTGTCACAGCAACGTTATCGAAATTGAAATTTATTGAAAACAAACAAAAAATTTCAAAATCATTCGTTAAAAAGTTAAGTAAAGGTTTTTCTTTACTTAACTTTAATGTTGATTAAATGCCGTTAACGAGTATTTAACTGACTCTGAGAGGGAATTTTTTCAAATCGTTACTGAGGGACACCTTAAGTAATCATTAAACGACTCTGAGTGCGGCTGTTAGATAGTAAACTTTAATGGAAGTCACACGTTGAGCAAAAGACCTCCCAAGCCTTTAAATGAATATAATATGGTCCTAAAAATATGCAACCCGAAAGCGGAAGGAGTTCTTTCTATATAAAATCGTAAGCAATATGGTTATGTTATATTTCCTTGTAAATTTTTAAGCACAAACATTTTTCATTTATTGATTTTTAGCGGTAGAAATTTAGCGTGGAGATTTCTTGAATCCTACTGCTGGCAATGGAAACAGGTCTTTGATAAAACGTGGGGTCCTTTGCATCTGTGATGTGGTGAAGCATACTCTCAATAAATAGCATGGGAAATCCGCAATCTTCGAAAAGGTGTGTGTCAAAGTCAAACGTAAATTAGCTTGGAATTGAAAAAACACATGTTTTTGGAGTTAGCAGATTTTATATGTAACAAAAAGTAAGTGCGCCTGGGCCACACTGGAGAAGTGAAACTTACGTAACATATCTGTTTTGTCTCATAGCCAATATACATACATACATATGTATACACAAAATAGATAACAGTTTCGATAACTAAATCGATCGTTAAAAATATCGATTACAAAATCGATAAACATATCTATATCAAAATCCATAAAAATACCGATTATTATATCGATAAGTTCCGAAGATATCAATAGCAAAATCGGTAATAATATCGACAAAAATTTCGATAACAAAACCGATAAAAATATCGATTGTTATATCGATAAGTCCCGAGAATCTCGAAAATCTCTAAAATTTCAAAATAGTTCACACATTGAGTCTTTAGGTTCTCCATCGATATCCTTTTCTCTATAATTACCTTTATTTTAATCTATCTTCCTCTATCTTCATTTTTACTTTTATCGGTATCCTCATTCTCATCTTTTTCTTTGTATTTATCTTCGATTTTACTTTTGTGTTTAACATTTTCTTCATCAACATATTCTCCTTCTCCTTTGCTCTTATATAAGTAAAGTGTTTAAATTTACTTTGATCTTCATTTTTGCCTTTATCCTTACGCATCTTTGTTTTTGTTTTTATTTTTAACTTTGCCTTTATCCTTTTCTTTATCTATGTACGTACTCACCTTTACTTTCATTCTTGTATTGGTCTTTTTCTAAGTGTTATTCTTCAACCTTTTATTAGCAAGAGATTGTTAAATTAATACCATGTGCATACACTCAAGAAGCACTTGTTTTAACCCCAACCATTTCCGTTGCATCTGCCAATTTACTCCCAACCAACCAACCGCCGCTATAGAAGTTTCACTTCAAAAAAATTATTTGCTTTCACCACCAAGTAGAGATATTTCCCCCTTTCCGTCAGTATCAAAAAGTTATTTTGACCGAAATATGGAGTTAGGAGCTTTTACCGCGGCGACGACAATATATACTATATGTATGTATGTACATATGTAAGTATAAAAATTACATTACGTTTACTTTTGTGACTTACTCTGGTGGACTTCCTCTTAAATTAAATGATGTAAATAGTACTTCGACTCGTTGTCCGGGTCCTGCTAGGAAGGTGTACAAGCACTGACGCGAATGATTTTTGTGATTGTGCAGCAACGGAGCGGAGAATGTGCCATTCTGTGGGCCACCAATGCGCGAAACGAATGTCTGGTCACATTCTGTGGACAAGAAAATGGAGAAAACAAAGATGAAGAAAAATTTAAAATGGAAAACAATAAGTAAAGAAAGAAGAATTAAAATAGTAGTAATCGAATGAGAAAATTTACGTAGTATATTGCTTTTTAATGAAGATTAAACCACAGGCAACACGTATGTATGTATGTAAGTAGATGCAGGTATGCATATATATGTACTTATACTTTAAAGCGTTGCAGTGTAAGTATACAAGTTAACAGCTACTCCTGTATGCACATCTAGTCAATTACATATTTACTTATTTTGTACAGTCTGGAACACAACAATCAACACTCAGCTTCCGAAGGGGTTACATAAATTGTGTTGGCGTTGCAAGGAACGTTAACTACGAGTACCAAGGAGCCTCATATCGTTACTATTGAAAAATATTAGGTTCCCCCCATAGCTGGGGTTCAGTATGGTTTGACTCATAAATGTGCTCGTGTTTATTTATGGTAGTGTTAATGTTAAAAGTAGTTGGCTTGCGGCGTTTTATCCTTTATTTATCTTTTCATTTTCATTCGTTATTGAACTGACAAAAGATTGCTCGAAATTGAAATCGTAAATCTGTATGTATGTACATTAGAGCGTACTAGAAAAATAAGTTCGCTGTACACCCCAGAGTCTAAAGTAATTTTGCAAGGAAATTTGGAATATTTTGTTTTGCCCAAAGTAGGGTTAGTCTTTTTTTTTCGTCATGTCTTCGGCATTCACAGTTGGGTCTTAAAATATGATGCAAGGATGTTCTGTTTCCGAGAAGAATTTTTTTTACCAAAATTTATTGACCACAAATATTCCATTCTAGCACAAACCCATAGGTAAATTAAAGCTCTTCAAAAATCATTATTTGAAATCTTGCCAAGGAGGTATTTTGAAGAACAAACATTTTTTTTTTTCGAAATTACATTACAAAACTACTTCAGAGTCAGTGTACCTACAGGAAAAATTTGGTTTGATTGTAAGTTGATGTGGTCTAATGTTTGTACATATGTACTTAATGTATGTGGTCCAATTTTTCTATGGGAAAAAAATATTCATCCAAGAAAACAGGGCACCCCCTTACTTTTTTCCTTTTAATATTTGTAATATCTAAACCAACTTTCAGTTTTCTACTGCAACTAATACAGGGTGCTCAATGACCTTGAAATGCGCTACTAATTTAAATCTCAAATGTTTTTAGGTTACTTGACCAATTGTTTCATTAATATATGTACACAAGGTTTGGTACCAGCACCTCTTTCGGCAAAACGAAACATTTTTGAAGGTGCCTTAAACNTTTAAATCTCAAATGTTTTTAGGTTACTTGACCAATTGTTTCATTAATATATGTACACAAGGTTTGGTACCAGCACCTCTTTCGGCAAAACGAAACATTTTTGAAGCTGCCCTAAACCTATCTTGGAAAATTATTTTTTTGGACCACTCTAATGTACATACATACATACATATGTGCAACATATCCAGTATTACGAGCACTATATGCACATGCACTATTGAGCTGCAAACAATAGAGGTATTCTCTGAGTCTTGCAAAGCCCTTGCATGGTGCACAGATTGCATGGATTGCACGGTAAAAACCGGTTTTCGTATGGGACAGCTTTGCAAACCGTGCAATCCGTGCACGGTGCAAGGGCTTTGCAAGACTCAGAGAATACCCCTAATGTAAAACTAAAAGACATTCATTCACACACATACATATACATACATACATATGTATAAATATGTATATAACTAAAGAAAAAACACTATGAATGCACTGAAATTCATTGTCAATTTATTACAATGCTTTTACAATTGGCATTCCAATGAAATGCAAAACCAAAAGCCAAAACTAGAAAAACCATTTAGCTATTGAACTGAAAAGGAGGAACACAACCTACTTGGCGTCTTTGTTGGTCTCGGCAGAGTTTCCAAGTAAGCCACGACGGGTATCCAAGGATGTGCCGCTGGATTAGGGCCGCCGCGTGCTTTTAATTCAGAAGCAGCCTCGAAATTGTACGCCACTGCCGAGATAGACAAAAAGCAAATATGTACAAACATACATACATACGTACATTAACACAAGACAAAAATACATACGTATGTGGCTAGCTAGCATGTATGTATTTTACTATAATATTGATAAATAGATAAATCTTGCTAGCAGAAGTAAATTTAGAAATTGAAAATTCCAGGATTTGTTAATGTTACTAACTTTAATTGTGTATGTATGTTTGTATGTGGGGCAAAATTCGTCAAGTGTAGCAGGAAAAACATTTTATGGAAGCATTTTGTTCAAACTCCACTACGTTGTTGCTATGGTTACTGGTAATCAATGTGTGAAAGAATTTTTTTTTCTACCGTGGTTTTTTCTCGAGTTATACGAGTTTGACATGCCAATTTCAACCCTTTTTCTTCACACTTATGCTTTTTGGTGGAAACTATATTTTTTTGGATTTTTTTTTGCAAAAATTTTTATTGAAATTTTTTACAAAGTTTTTGAAACTGGCCTATTTCGATAGCTTATTTTCTAAGCTTTCCAACGATATATAATTTGTATTGGCCGTGGCAAAAGGACTACAAGTTTTTCATCACAGAACGCACTCGGGTCCGCCTTTCATTGTTGTCGGAAATAACACAAGTTTATAGAAATGAAAAAATTGTCCGACCAGTGACATTTTTAAATGCATTTATATTAACGTAAAATTTCCCGCTGAGTCCGAATACGAAATTAAAATGTAAGAAGTATAACAGTTTTTGAGATATGTTTAGCCGAATTTGGGGTTTTTGATATCTGAAAAAAAGTGCACTCACTTTATTACAATTTTTTTTTTGGAAAAAGCAAAAACGGTGCATTGTTTAAAAAATGCATTTTTTTGTTGCAAATTCTTTGCAAAAATAAATCCAAAAAATTATAGTTTCCACCAAAAAGCCTACTTAATATTTGTTGTCACAATTTTTAAGTATTTTGTAGGGCATTTCGCAGAAAATGCTTGGTTCCCACGGATTTCCAATTATTCAAAAATTTTAGATCTTTTTCTGCCAAGTATATGTGTTGCTGAAACCGCATTCGAAGGTAACAGAGAACGGTATCAAATAATAAATAACTATTCTAAATAACTACAACTACGGGTCTTTCATCTCACTCACTTTATTACAATTTTTTTTTGGAAAAAGCAAAAACGGTGCATTGTTTAAAAAATGCATTTTTTTGTTGCAAATTCTTTGCAAAAAAAATCCAAAAAATTATAGTTTCCACCAAAAAGCCTACTTAATATTTGTTGTCATAATTTTTAAGTATTTTGTAGGGCATTTCGCAGAAAATGCTTGGTTCCCACGGATTTCCAATTATTCAAAAATTTTAGATCTTTTTCTGCCAAGTATATTTATGTGTTGCTGAAACCGCATTCGAAGGTAACAGAGAACGGTATCAAATAATAAATAACTATTCCAAATAACTACAACTACGGGTCTTTCATCTGGATGGGTTGTTTTTGTAGGAAACTTATTATTTTTCGGGTTTTCGGTATGACATAATAAAAAATTAAAAACAAACCAGCCTTGAAATCTGATGCAATTGGTTTTATAATTAAAAGTGAGCCGACCTATTTCTCAGTGAGACGGCTAACGAGACAATGGACTTTGGCTTTCTTTTTCAACAAAATAGCTATTATGGCAATGAACTCTTAATGTATTTAGAAGGAAGTCGAGGTTTACATGAATAGTTTTGCCTTTTCCAAGTTGGAAAAGAAAGCACAGCCAACGAGAACGAGAAGAGGTATCTCCTATAACACGGTGCGACAAGAAAAAAAATCGAAACAAACAAGTATAGTCTAGTTAGTTAGGGGAGGGGCGATGGGGCGATCGCACCCCCCCAAAGCTGGAAAAAATTTCGGTTAAAATATATTACCTCAAACGAGAAATTTGAAAACAAATTAAAATTTTTTTTTTAACCTTCAATCATTATCCCTTTTTTAGGCTTGCACAAGATTATTTATAGAATAAGAAAGCATGTAAATCTCTTAAATTAAAAATCATAACAATGGGTATGCAAATACTCTGAATTTATAGACCTTGTGATAATTTTACGGCATTTAAATTTTTACAAGATTTGACCATTTGTTTTAAAAAATCAACAAACTTTCGTAAAAATTTCGAACCATGTAATTCGATCTTTAAGAAATATTTTGAGTAAGCAGTTTTTAGCCGATTCAATTTTACTGCAAGTTTAAAGTAAATGATATTTGGCATGTTTTTTTTTTGTTGACCATGTTAACTATTTTATTCCATACAAAACATTTTCGACGATTTTTTTTTGTAATATGGAGCCCGAGCTGGCTGCTTTAAACTAAGATTAGCCAATCAATTATCAGTCAGCTGTTCCTTTTAAATTCAGATTACGTAATCTAAGTTTAAACTGCCACTGAAACTGGCCCTTAGATATCGAAATTGACACTGAACGGATAATACAAAGATTCCCAAAAGGAAAGCGCAAAATTGAGTTCGCAATTTAAATTATTATAATCAAAATTCCGAATAAGTTGTTAAGTTACTTAATTACATTCCTCATTTGACAAACATTTTAAGTAAAAATTAAGTATTTATGTAATATACATATACTGCTTTAATAAGCCCAGAGCACAACTTTTTATCTTGTGTTTTTTTACAAAATAGTATAATTGTTTTATTGCATGGGACTCTGTAAATGAACCTTGCGCCAAATTCACAATATGAAACTTACTTAAAGTAAAATTATATCACAAAACATTTTAACTCGGACTTCATAAAAATTACTAGAACCTCTATTTGTGTGAAAAATAAATGAGAGTTCAAGCAGGTTGGATGCTTGTAGGTCATATAGCTTCGATTGGTCACTCCGCTTTATCCATCAAGTTAGATGCCTGTAATTCAACGTTATTCGACAACTCGATCCCAATCGCCCCTCCCCAAATAAAATCCTGTATCCGGCACTGAATGTATTGCATTATTTTTTTGAGTATATGCG